ATCCAGGATAGAACTAAACATGGCTGGCAAAAAAAAAAAAAAAAAAGGTCAATGAAATGATTCCTAATGATATTCTACTATAATCATAGATCATACTCCAGACTGTCATCAGAGAAGCTTTATTTGGCAACTGTTGGAAACAGAGACCTAGAGCCAAAACATTTAGGTGGAGCTCCGGAACCTCGTAGAAGAGGGAGAATGTGATAGTCTGAATATAATTGGCCCCCATAAGCTCATAAGGAGTAGCATTATTGGGAGTGTGGCCTTGTTGGAGGAAATGTATCACTTTGGGGGTGGGCTTTAAGGTCTCCTATGCTTAAGCCAGGCCCAGTGTCCCAGACCACTTCCTGTTGCCTGGTCGAGATGTAGGACTCACAGCTCCTTCTCCAGCACCACGTCTTTCTGTCAATCATGCCCCACCATGATGATAATGGACAAAAATCTACGAAAATGTAAGCCATCCCAATTAAATATTTTTCCTTCATAAGAGTTGCTGAGGACAAGGTGTCTTTTCACAGCAACAGAAACCTAACTAAGGAAGGGAGGAAGGACTGTAGGAGCCACGGGGGTCGAAGACACCACGAGAATCGACTAAGCAGGCACACAGGAGCTTACAGAGACCAAAGTGACAATCATGGAGCCTCTATGGAGCTGAACAAGGTCCTCTGCATATATGTTACAGCTGTGTGGCTCAGTGCTCTTGTGGGACTCCTAAACAGTGGGAGTGGGCGTGTCTCTGACTCTTGCCTGTTCTTGGGGCCCTTTTCCTCCTACTGGGTTGCCTCATCCAGCCTTGATATGAGGGTTTGTACCTAGTCTTATTGTAATTTGTTATACCATATTTGATTGATATCCCTGGGAGGCCTGCTCTTTTCTGAGGGGAAACAGAGGAGGAGTGGTTCTGGTGGAGAGATAGGGGCGTGGGCCTGAAAGGAGAGGAAGGATGGGTAACTGTGGTTGGGATATAATGAAAAGAAAATTAGTTGGCTAGGGACTTCTGGTATAGCTCAGTTGGTGGTGCTTGCTGCACACGCCTAAGCACCTGAGTCTGAGCTCCAGAGCCCATGTGAAAAGCCAGGCATGGTGGTGCACACTTGCAAGCCAATGCTGGGGAGGCAGAGACAGGCTGATCCCTGAGGCTCACTGGCCAGCCATACTGGCTTACTCAGGGAGCTGCAAAGTAGTGAGAAAGCCATCTTACAAAAACAAGGTAAGGGCTGGAGAGGTGGCTCAGTGGTAAAGACTGCTTACTGTTTCAACAGAAGCCTGGAGCACATATCCCAGCTCCTACAGTGGGGTAGCTCCCAAACACCTGTACTCTAGCATCAAGGGATCCAATGTCCATCTTTTGACCTCTGTGGAAACCCATACATGCACACATATGCAAATAAATAAGGTAAAATAGAAAAACAACTCTTTCAGTTGGCTTGGCTTGCTAACATTTTCACACACACATTCATTAGGGACATAGTCTAGTTTGCAGTGAATGCTGGTCTCATAAAATGAATCCGAAAGAATCCCTTTAACTTTAGAAAGAATTCTAAACTATTCTTTCTGGTATTCATGTTTTACATTTAACATCTAGAAATTGTCCATTTTTTTTCTGTTTTCTGATATGTTAGCATACATACATACATGTTAGTATACATATACATATATATAATTTACTTTTGGGGTATCAGTAATGTCTCTTTTTTTCTCGTTTTTCATCTTTCTGTTTTTTTCCCCTAGTGCTAATTATGGTTCCCTGTAAAACTGAACTTTGTCTCAGTGGTATTTTGCATCACGCTGTTCTCAGTTCATCAATCTCTGCCAGATCTTTATTATTTCTTTCCTCCTACTACTTTGGGGCTTGTTTCTGTATTGTGAGATGGGGCCTCACTATGTATTCCTGGCTAACTGGAACTTGACAGACCAGGCTGACCTTGAGTTCAGAGATCCACCTGCTTCTAACTCCCAACCACCTAGCTAGTTATTTCTTTTAAAAATATATTAATTAGGGCTGGGCAATGATGGCTGACGCCTTTAATCCCAGCACTCAGGAGGCAGAGGCAGGCAGACATCTGAGTTCAAGGCCAGCCTGAACAGGCTCCAAAGCTACAGAGAAACCCAGTCTTGAAACAAACAAACAAACAAACAAAGAACTGACTGACTAGTATGTGTGTGTGAGTGCATGTGTGCATGCGCATATTTATACACATACGCCATAGTTCACTTGTAGTGGGCAGAGGACAGCACTTGTTTACGTCTTCCATCTTGTTCAGGCAAGGTTTCCTTCCCTGCAATAAATAATCCAGGCTAGTAGACCTACAACCTTCTGAGTGATTTTCCTGTCTCTGCCTCCTAGCTCACCACAGGAATACCAGTATTACAGATACCACTACCACAACTATGTTTTCTTGTCTTTGTTATTGTATTTTCAACATGGATTCTGGGGCTTGTACTTGGGTCATCAGTTGAGCCACCTCCCCTTGGTTAGTTCCTAAGCCATGCTGCTATACATTGCTTTTTGAAACCTTCCTGCCTTGTGGGTGTAGGAATTTGTGGTGGCAAACATATTAACACTACCTTTGCTGCACCCCACATAATTTTGGTATATTGTATTTCTATTTTCATAAATCTCAAAACATTTTTAACATTTCCCTTTTAATGTCTTCACTAACCTATTAGTTGTTCAGGAGTATACTGTCTAATTTTTGTTTACTTTTATAATTTCCAGAGCTCCTCTAGACCAACTATGTCTTATGGACAGAAGAGAGATTTTCAAAAATTCTTTCAGAGACTTGTGTTTTGGTCTACTCTACGATCTGCAGTGGTGAATTGTATGTGCTGAGGAGACGATGTACTCTGCAGCTGCTGGAAGGAGTTCTGTGTCCACCAGTCTATTTGGTCTATACAACAGTTTAACTTTGGTGGTTCACTGTTTGAGGCTGGGGAATTTGTCTGCTGGGATTCTGACATCCCAACTATTGCTGTATGAGATCCTATCTCTCCCTTTAGATATAGTAACATGTGCTTAATGTATTTGGGTGGTGCTGCATTGGGTACACACATTATCAACAGATGAACTGAAATTTTTTATCACTATATAAGAATCTTCATTTTCTTACAGGCTTTTCTATTGGCATTAAGTATATTTTCCTATTCCTTTACTTTCAGCCTGTGACTTTACACAAGAAGCAAGTAGAGAAGCTGCCTCTTTCAACTTTTTTTGAGGAATCATTTCCCCAAGAAAGAGACTTTCTTTTGTCAATTGGAGCTACCTCACCTTAGTTTGACATACTGCTAGCTTCGATTCCAAGTGGATACAGTAGTGTAGTTTCTTTAACTATGATGCTCACTGGTAATGTACTTGGTTGTCAGTGGTCAAGCCTGTGGGTGTCTGTGATGTAGTTGTGTGGTATGGCTTTGCTAGGAATAAAGCTGTGCCTGGTGGACTGTTGAGCCACAGACTGGTGGTTATGCGATAGGCTCTCCAGTGGGTGGGGCTGTCAGACTGGGTTTGTGTACTTGGGGGCACTGTGGGTTGGCCAGCTGGCTCACAGGGCAGAGTGAGGCTGCCACCAGACTGGCTACCAAGTCATGCACAAGTGTTCACAGGCATTTCAGGCTTGTGGTTATGTCAGTTCTCACTCTGTTCTCAGGGGATGGGGGTCACATCAGTTAGAAGCCAGAGTCTTGACACTTCTGCTAGGTCTATATTTCCAGAAGCTGGGGCTGTGGTACTACAGCTGACCAGGAATGTGACAGAGTGATTGCAGATCCTCAAGAACAGAGACACACAGCATCTGTTGGTCTCTGTGGGGACTTGCACTGTCAAGGTAGATTTAGATTCTGTCGAGGTAGATTTAGATTCTCGATGGCCCAGAGCCAGATACTTAGGTCATAGTGTGTGAAGATATAAAAAACCTGAGCTCTTACTCCATAGCCTGACAGCCCTATGAACCCCAGACAACTCTAAATAGCTCAGGTTCTGTAAGGGCTGTGGAAGTCTGTCTGCGGAGACAACAGGGACTCCAGGTCTCCTTGTAAGCTGAAGGTTGGCTTTGTTTTTGCGCCCCACAGGGATCCCGTTGTTTCCACTCCTTCCAGAGGATGCTGTCAGTCACTCCATTCTATTGTCTCCTTTTTGTGGGGACAGTGATTTGGCCAACATCTCTCTTCCACAGGGAAATTGAGAGCATCAAAAGACAACACTAGAAAAGAAGAAAGGGGACCAGACGATGGCTCTGCAATTAAGGGTACTTGCCACCAAACCTGATGACTTGAGTTCCACTCCTGGGACTCATACTGTGAACGGAGAGAACTAACCACCACAGGCTGAACTGACTTCCACATGTGCACCATGGCATGCACAGGCCTAAACATACATACAATGGGTAAGTGTAATGAAACATTTAAGAATATAAGAGCTACAGTATCGCTGGGTGATAGTGGCACACGCCTTTAATCCCAGCACTCGGGAGGCAGAGGAAGGCGAATCTCTGTAAATTCGGGGCCAGCCTGGTCTACAAGAGCTAGTTCCAGGACAGCTAGGACTGTTACACAGAGAAACCCTGTCTCAAAAAACCAATAAATAAACAGATAGATAAAAGGAGAGAGAGAAGGAATAAATTAAACACTACTGAAAGGGGTTGTCATTCAGACGGCAAACACTGAGAAAGTGAGACACTATACACCACAGAATCCAGCCTGCTTCTGGATCAGCAACTCAGGTGAGGGCGGCCTAAGTGCTGCACTGGCTGAAGGGAGCATCTGCACTTTGAGCTTTGCTTTGTTTGGCAGCACTGCGGGCAGGACCCACGGCCCGCTACAATCAAGGCAAACACTCTCACTGCTAACCCACATGCTACACATTGTTCAAAATTTTGCAAAAACAAAGCACAAACAATAGTAACCAGCCCACTATGATCATCCAAGACACTAGTTCTGTACAATGCCTTCCAGAAAACAAAAACAACCATAAATAGTAAAAATAGTAATAGCAGTTCTTAACTAACCTTATGAGGTGAGAAGTACTTCCCCGATGCACAAAACAATATCCTCCATGAAAATAAGATATAAAAGCCCTGGAAAAAAAAAAAGCCAGGTGTGGTAGCATATGCCTTTAAGAATCTCTCTGAGTTCAAGACCAGCCTGGTCCACTAACACGTTTTAGGCCAGCCAAAGCTACCTCATCAGACTCTACATCTAAAGACAAAAATAAAATAAAACAACAACCAAAAACTCCTGGGAAAAAATAGCAAAGAACCCATCATTACAAAAGCATATACACCAAGGGGCAGTGGTGATGTATGACTTTGATCCCAGCACTCGGGAGGCAGAGGCAGGTGGATCTCTATGAGTTTGAGGCCAGCCTGGTCTACACAGAGAAACCCTGTCTAAAATAAAAAATAAAAAATAAATAAAGAACAAAAGTGTATGCGCTACCCACTTATTGCTTCCCTTAGGAGTGGGAAGCTGATTCAATATTTAAAAACAAATTGATATGAACACAAAACACTGTAGAAAGCTACCAAATCAGCTGACAGAGATCATACCAGGAAAATTTAACACTCACTGATGATTTTTAAGAAACTTTCAGGGCTGGACAGGTGGCCTAGTGATTAAGAGCACTGCCTGCTTTTCCAAAAGTCTTGAGTTCAATTCCCAGCAACTACATGGTGGCTCACAACCATCTGTAATGAGATCTGGTGCCTTCTTCTGGATAGCAGGCATACATGCAAGCAGAACACTATACATAGTAAAATAAAATCTTAAAAAAAAAAAGAGGGGGCTGGAGAGATGGCTCAGTGCTTAGGAGCACCGGCTGTTCTTCTAGAGGTCATGAGTTCGATTCCCAGCAACCACATGGTGATGCACAACCACCTATAGTGGGATCTGATGGACTCTTCTGGCATAAAGGCATACATGCAAACAGAGCACAATAGCACAATAAATAAATAAATAAACAAACAAATAAACCTTAAAAAAAAAAAAAAGAAACTTTCAAGAGCTGACAAGACAGTTCATCAGGTAAAGGCATTTTAAGCCTAGAGACCTAAGTTTGGTCCCAGAACCCATTAATGGTGGAAAGAGAGACCCACCTCTTCAAAGCTGTGCTCTGACCTCCACACACATGCTGTTACAAGTATGTGCACACTCATACACACATAATAACAAATTAAAAGGCTTTCACGAGTCACGATCATAGGAGAAAAATAACAAACTTGACTTATACAGAATCAGAAACTTTTGCTCTTTAAATAAATACTATAAGGGTTGAACATGGTGGCACACGCCTTTAGTCCCAGCACGTGGGAGACAGAGGCAGGCAGATCTCTGTGAATAGGAGGCCATCCTGATCTACAGAGTGAGTTCCAGGACAGCCAGAGGTACATAGTAAGATCCTGTCTCAAACACACACACACACAAAACACACACACATACACAAAGCCAAACCAAACAAACAAGCAAAATACTAAGGGGGCCTGAGAGATGGTCTAGCAGTTAAACAGAACTCACTGCTCTTCCAGAGAACCCAAGTTTGGTTCCCAGCACCTTTATTAAGTAGCTCAAAACTGTCTGTATCTCTCAAAACCACCTGTAACTCCAGCTCGGCGGAATCTAACATCCTCCACAGGCACCTGGCACACCAGTGCACACGTGACACACACACACACACAAATAAAAATAAATTATCCTGAAAGTTCGATAGAATTTTTTGACTATTTATTTGTGTGTGCATGTGCGTATTTTCCCTTGGGTGGAGCTGCAAACAGGTGTGAGCCTACTGGCATGATGCTGGGAAGAGAACTCAGGTCTTCTGAAAGAGTAACAACAGCTCTTAATCACTGAGCCATCTCTCCAATCCAAGTTATGAAAAACTAAAAAAAAAAAAAGTACCTAAGAAAATAAAAGGACAATCACCTGGGGGAAATACTTGCAAACCGTATATCTATATATCAATAAATAACCTGTATGATGAGAAACAATGTAGTTCAATGGTAGAACACATGTAAGCTTGATCCCAAGGTGGAAAGGTAGAATCTGTATACTGAGTATTAAAAAAAATGGGCTGGCACACATAAATGGTAGTATGTGTGTGAACACACACATGCACACACACAAATAAACAAAATATTCTTTTAAGGTTTTTAAACATGTCCCAGCCATGGTGACACATGACTACACCACTAACACTCAGAAGGACTGGTGGGAATTCAGGGTCAAAATGAACTATGCTGCAAGTTGAAAGCCAGCCTAGGATACAAAATGAAACCAGTGCTGACACTGCAGCTTGGGGTACAGCCCTTGCCTACCAGCTGACCCTGGGTTTGGTTACCAGCACAAACCAAAAACAGTGTTGTTATTATTATCAGCTGACAGGGTGGCATACAACTGTAATTCCATCACTCTGGGGGATGATCCTGAGTTTTAGCCTAACCTACTACAAAGAGAGCCCCTGTGGAAAAACAGTAAAAACAACAACAAAATGAATTTTACATTTTCCAAATAAGACAATAACAAAACATTTAAATGAAAATAAAAAATAGTAAAAATATTTAAACAAGCATTTCACCATAAACGAGTGGTTGCCAAATAAAAGCATGAAAACAGTTTTTTTGGCCATTTGGTCATTGAAGAAGCGCAAAATAAGACTATACTAAAATGTCACTGTGTACTTGGCAGACTGGCTGGAATGGAAGGAGCTGTCACTAGTTCCTGGAAACTGTGAGAGGCAGCACAAACAACCACACTCTGTAATGGGATTATACAGTGGTACAACCACTTTGAAATAAAGTTTGTCATTTCTTTAAAAACAGTCCCAAACTGGAAACAACCCAAACATCCATCAACAGCTGAACAAACAGCCGAATGCACACAATGGAACATATGCACACTCGACTGTGAAAGGTAGGAAGCGCTGACACACGCTTCAGCGTGAGTGAATCTCAAAATAATCAGAAAGAGTAAATACTCTGAGTCTATTTATATAAAATTCTAGGAAATGCTAACTGACCTACTGGGAACCTAGGGAAGGGAAGTGTAAAGAAGGGGGAGGGGAACGCATACAAAGGGCGAGAGGAAACTTTGAGGACAATGTACCCATTGTACTTAAGATCGTGTGGCATATTATCCCAGGTGTTGAAAACTATCAAGCTGTTACTTTAAATATGGACAGTTTATTGTATATAAATGTTTCATTTTTCTAAAAGTTACCAACTAAAACAAAATTAAAACCAATTAAAAATCCATTTAAAAGGGCTGAAGAGATGGCTCAATGATTAAAAGCAGTTGCTGCTCTTGCAGAAGAACTAGCTTCAGTTCCCAGCACCCATAGTGGCTTACAACCACCTGTAATTCCAGCTCTAGGGGATCTGACACCTTCTTCTGATTTCTGCAGGTATAAGGTACACACGTGGTGCACATACATACATGTAACAAAACACTTGCATAGACAAAAATAAAATAATAATAATAAATAATTTAAAAAACAAACCACAAACTGGGTGGTAGTGGTGCCTATATTTAATCCCAGTACTTGAAAGGCAGAGTTCAAGGCCAGCCTGGTCTACAGAGTGAGTTTCAGGGCAGCCAGGGCTACATAGAGAAACCCTTTCTCAAACAAACAAACCACAAAACACTGTTTAAGATGCACAAATGGTAAATAAGCAGAAAGAGTTGCTCACCGATAGCCATCAGGGAAATGCAAATTAAACAAGAATCGGACAGGTAAGTATCTACTGAGTGTCTAAAAGGAAGGCAGACAAAAGTAGATGCTGCCAAGAATGTGGCCCAGCTGAAACTCCGAGGTTGCTGATGAGAAGGTATGTGTGAGCGCTCTAAGAAAGTGGCAATTTCTTAAATATACACACCACATTCTACTCAGCAGTTCCATCTCTAGAGCTTTAAGAGAGATGAAAACTTAAGTGCAAACAAAAGTCTATATATGAAAGTTTGATTTCATCATAATCTCTGCACAGAGAAAATAACCCCGAAGACTCTCCTCCGGCAAATGAATGAGTCTTCTACAGCCTGATGCTGCTGTGGTCATAGTAAGCCTCACTGGGGAAACACTGCTGCTGCTGCTGAGGTAAAGATCTGATGGAAGCCGAGCATGGAGGTGTGCACTCAAAACCCCAGCACTTGGGTAGCTGAGGGAGGAGGACCAGTCTGGGGTACACTGTCAGCCCCCGGGGTGGGAGGGAGAGGAAGAGAGGAGAGAACTGGAGAGAACTCCTGAGCAGAGTCCTGGTGTAGCTGTCTCACTCCCACACTGGCTACGTGTTGACTCCCTTCCTCAAGGTAACTGCAGCAGAAAGCCTGAGGAACAGCACCTCTGCCCCTGACCAAGGTCAACACTGGCAGTGGGAGTCATGGATGACACACACTAATGATTTTAAGTGAAAACATAAGCACCGTATCTTTGTCCTCTTCCTCCCTAAAGCCATGGCCTTGGTGTGACCATGAGGGTAACAAGGGGCAAACCACTGAGGAACATTCTCCAAGTTCCGGATGCTGCATCTCACGGCTGCCCAGTTAGCAACAGTAAGAAGCAGAGGAGACTTTCAGAGTCAGTAGGCTACGGAGATAAGAGAGGAAATGCAATGAGAGGTCCCAGGATAGAAAAAGACAATAGGTTCAGCTCAGGAGTCTGCATTCAGCCTGGATTTCAGTCCTCAGTGGTGCCCAACTTAAGATCTCAATGAGAGAGAGGGGGGACTCCCTCTTCTGTGCGCTAAAATGCTCAGCCCCTGCTCACCTGGTCACTCTCTGGGAGACTGCCTTCAAATAAAATATATTACGTAATATATGTGGGGTCATTTTCTTGTACTTTGGTTAGTGGTATTTAGTTTGCCACTACTATACGATGAAAACTCAGTTCTTGTTTAGACATATCTGGCTAAAAACAACATTGCTGCTGCTTTTAAGACAAGGTCTTTTTATGTAGCCTTGACTGTCCTGGATCTCACTATGTAGACCAGCATGGCTTCCAACTCAGAGAGATCCTCCTGCGACCTAAGTGCTGGATTAAGTATGTGCACCATCACGCCTGACTAGTTCTATTTTATGCGTATGGTATTTT